ACTGTCTGAATAAATCCTGAGAATGCTCTCTGGTATCTTCACTTTTTCAATTTCCTTGATTATGATTCCATAAATTGAACCTTTCGAAAAGTGAAAATCATAAATGATGCTCCTAGAAACGGAATAGTTTTGATTCTTCTTGGGATAAATCAATATTTTTCCAGCGGGGGACGCTAAACTCTCAAGAGGAGACCATCTTCGGCATTCTCCGCGGCAATTCCCACCATGCGCATCAGTAAATATCCGTTGGATGTCGTATTGTTTTGCAACAGTTACTTCTCTGGCTATTAAAGTATTCACAGACTGCGGTAGGCGAAGTATTCTCTGGCAGGTAATCCAATACTTGAAATATTTTTAATTATTGAGCGAGATGTTAAATGAAATTAGGAGGATATCAAAAAGAACATATCTTTAGTGGGACATACTACATATTATAGTTTTATGACAACTACATCTTCCTCAATAATTATTGTTTTTCCTACTTTACGATCACAGGGGCAGGTTTTTTTGCCAGTTTAGCTCTTAAATATAATTAGAATACAGAATAAGAAACAAATAATAATAACAATAATAATAATAATAATAAGAAGAAGAAGAAGAAGAAGAAGAAGAAGAAGAAGAAGAAGAAGAAGAAAAAAGAGAAGAAGAAGAAGAAGAAGAAGAAGAAGAAGAAAAATGCATGAAGAAGTCTGAAGAATAAATCAATTAACGGAGATATTTGTGACCCATAAAAGCACTTGGCTGTCACGCGCATTACAAGTGAAATTACAGGAATAGGACATTCCTACGGCAAATTAATATGTTGTACGGTACAACATTTTTTGCGGGATTTCCTTCACGACACTCACTTGTGCTCTCGGTGAACTTTTTGGAAATTATTAATGAATTGTAACAGAATACAGAATATGTGAATCAAAAATATTCGAGAAGCATCATAATTTGATCATGCGACACGATGTAAAAGGAAACCAGCGTCTCAAACGAATGTAAAGTGATATTCCATATTTTATTTCTTATGACGCGCAATTGGGTATAATTTCAAATTCCTAATCTTAATGACCTTCACGTTATCAGGACCGCCTTGCTGCGTTTTATTCATCGCTTCTTTGCATCGTTTAAAAGACGATAGTTTTATTTATAAAAATATAATTTTAAGTAAATGTTTTTAAGTGATCAACATTTTTATTTGGAATTCAATATTACTATTTATTTTGGTGTTGTAAAGTGAATTGCACCTCTTGTTATGCAGTGTAATCACCTCCCTTCTTTGCACTATATTTCGAAATTGATTAGGGGACGAAAATGTTCCTTAAATCAATTACAGTAATACGTACTATAACATTTTTTAAGAATCTTCATCAACAGTCGAGAATAGAATGAGAATTAAATGCAATACAAAAAGTGTGACATTGATCCTTGATATTTTTAAACCGCATCAACGCCATTTTCGTAATTTTGCCCATCCTTTTATATTTGAAAATCGATAGGAAAGTGTAAACAAAAATTCATCTTAGTACGATTTCTTCTGTAAGATGGGCACTTATTTGTCTAATTTAAGTGAACAATTTCTCGGCTTGTATGGGACTAATTTCGATGTTTTCACCATAGTGTAGATATTTCGAGACAATTTCCAATCGTTATGTACAGTTTTTGCTTCTAATTTGCAGTTTACTAGAAAATTAAATTTACTCTTATCGTTGGACTCGTATGGCCCAACTTGAGGTTTTTACCACGAAGAAAGCAAATTAACTTCAAAAAGTTCGAAAGAACAACGGCAAAAATACCCAAAATGTGTTCTAAAATATATGAATTGGGGATACAATCAACTCGCATGACTTCACAAGTAACTAACGTCTAATCCGACTCCATTTATCACTCCCTCATAGCGAAACATCATGTGGGCTTGGAGTGCTTGTAGCCAGCGCTACTGCGATATGCGCAGTTGTAACCTTCTACGTACGTGTATCATCGTCCTTCTTTACCTCCCCTCCCCTTCCCCCATTCCTCTCCACCGCCGCCCCTCACCGCGGCGCGGCGTCGCCCGGCGTACGCGCACGTGCGCCGCCAAGGGATATCCGCACTTACTCTAACAGGTAATTCGTGTTTTAATTTTAAAAGCTTCGCCCGAGCGTAACCAACGTTCGGCGCGGGTTGGCGCGGGCCGCCGCCGCCGTCGCCGCCTCCCCTGCCCTGCCCTGCCCTGCCCTGAGGGTCCTGCCGTCCTAGAAGCCGCCCCGAGCGCCGTACTGGTCGCCTAAGAAAGAGTTGGCCCGTGCCCGGAACGTCTTGACCCCTGGAGGACGAGGGGTTGGGGAACGGGAGGCGGAGGGACGGGGAGATGAGGATGACCCATGACGGTTTGATCGTTGCGTTGTGAGCTGTAAAAGCGTCGAGCACTCAGAGACGTCGGATGTTGTTTTACACTCATAAATGCAACTCAGCCAGAAAATGACACTTCCTAGAAAAAATTTTATTTAAAAAATACTTATATGTTTTATGAAACGTTATATGATACATTATTAGCTTTTATCCATAGGGCAACAAATACAAAAGTAGCATTAAATCGGCAACAAGAAGTAACAGCGAAAGTAGCACACAATCAGCAAAGGTTTCGATTGCATTTATACCAGGAGATTGTGCTACTGTTCTTCTAACAGTCTTTAACTGCCAATAACGTATATTACCACGTGAGGCAGTTAACAGCTATCAACCTCGCGGTTGATAATCGTCTTCCTATCAAAGTCGCGTGCAGGGGCGCTCTGTTCCGATGGCAACATTCTAGTGTGACACCACTTCAAGTATTTAATTACAAATAACATAATTTAAATGTTTTGATTAAAATTTGCTTTTGTTAATATTTTTGCTAATTTAAAATATTTATTTAGTTTTACATTATTCTATTTTTAAGTTAAGGGTTAAATGTTTCTTAACTGATATAAATTTTGATTACAAATTGTATTCCCATTAAATTTCTTTAATTTCTGTCAGTTATCGTAGATTATTAAGTATATAATACTACGAAATAATTTTAGCTGACATAATTAACATTCTTTTATTTTCAGTAAAAGCGTTCATAGTGTACAAAGAAAAAACTTTTTAGACACATATAGAAAGGTTATAATTAGATAAATTTTCAACTGGGATGAAGAGTGGATTAACTGGTATTTAAAACTTGTGTAGTCTACAATAGAGTAGACCTTTTAGATAGGTAGATATTTATTATTATTATTATTATTATTATTATTATTATTATTATTATTATTATTATTATTATCATTGTTATCATTATTATCATTATTATTATAGACAGGTAATGAATTTTAAATAGTTGTAGAGAAGGCTCTACAATGTTGTAATAAAACTATCAATTGGGGAGGATGGCTCCATAAATATTGCACTGGGCATCACGAACCTTCGTCACGCCGCTGCTTAAAGAGATAACGTTATTGCCTCGAACGTACCTGATTCCGCAGTAACTAAAAACAATACTTTTGGGTGAGAGAGTCATCACATGAGTGTGTAGTTCTGCTGAAGAAAACGTGCGCAGATAATACTGCTCCCCAACCAACATGTAGATTTTACGTTTTTGAACCAAATAATGCAATACATAAAAAAAATTAAATCACAATGAGAAGTTCAAAATGTAATGCAGTAGAATATTTCAACAAAACATAATGATGTTCTTCAAAATTATTACTTGAAATTTTATACGATTGACCACTACCAGAGGATAAGATATTTCGAATTACATATCTCTACGTGCATATTTATAACACTTTCGATAATTTTGTGAAATTTTTAAATATATTATCATCTGCCAAGCAATATGTCTAGAAGTCGTACAGCCGCACTAATGCACTTGAAAGCTGTAGCTCTCTTTAGATGTGATAATGCCTTCGAAATCTTTCAAAATTCAAGCCATTTTTCATACTTTTCAGATTCAACGATCAACAAGAACAAAAAATGCGGAACGATGTGTTTTATTGTTCCATTTCTTTCTGTTCAAAATCTGCATTACGCAGTGCAAATTTTTTTAAAAATAGAAAATTTAGATGTAGTCTCATTATGATTAAAGAACTTATTTTCACAGTACAGTATCTTCTTCTCTTTTTGTTTTCCAACTGTGCATATTAATAAATTCTTACGACATTCTCCATGGTACGAAATATGTTAAAAATTTCATTTTCCTGTGTTAAACGGTATGCGAAAACCGTTGAAACCCATCTGATGTTTAACTATAAGGCTCAATACCATCACTTTCCCTTCATGAAAAATTGTGTTGACCTTTTCGGGCGCAATGGCGTCATCTTCAGGCCAATCTGTGGGTGATGGGGGGCAATGTACAGAAACAATAGAGGAGAGACTACGTCTGAGCCTTCTATTGATGAAAACATAAACTCCCCAGTACTATAATGTTATGCTTTGAAGAAAAACACGAAATAAAAATATTCTTAATATTGTTTTTACAGTTTACTTATATTATCTCATTGAAATATATGGTACGGAAAGTGCGGCAATTTAGAAGTTTTGTAAAACTAGTAGGATCCTAGTTCCAGTTCACTCTCGGAGAGCGTTAGGATATTCTTTGCTTTCTTTGAATTCCACGGGGTGTATATGCTTTTGAAACATGAATTGTCCAACAGAATCTGTTTTGTAACATGAAAAGTTGCATCCCATAACATTAAGAATCCAAATGAATATTTTGATAGTAAAAAAAATTGTAAGTGTTTAAATACACACAAAGGATAGAGGATAAAATTATCCATACTATATTCGTATGATGTATTCCAACTGGTTTACTCTAGAACTATTTTTCTCATTTCTGACAAATTTTTAATATCTTTTCTCTTTTTATGACTGTCAATTGGTTATATAAACTTTTTATCTCAATGGTTAAACTAATCTACACCATAGTACTCATGTCTAGGAAATTATAGAAAAATTGGAATTAATAGGATGAATTACGGGACAAAGGAACTGAAATATAATCACAACAACAATTTTCATACAAAAGTGTATTCCAAAAATCTTTAATATAAGAAAGTAGGGCAAAACCATGTTTATAAACAGTTTTACGATAAAGTATTTACATGAATTAACAAGCAGACATCAATGGACAGAAAAATAGCAAAGTTCTCACTAATAATTAATTTTCATGAACGTGAAAGTAACTGTATATTGAAACAGACAAAACATATTTCAAGATGATGAAAACTGATACAACAAACTCCTCCGAAAAGAATGTCATTTGAAACATCAGTACTTTCACCTTCATGTGGAATCAAATTCTTCAGTCATCCCAGGTTTCATTTTACACAATGGAATTTACAGTCACAATTCACAATTCACAATTCACAATTCCAAAAAAAACATTTGAGATTCACAACTTGTACATTAAAATAACAGAATCTCTTACAATTTCATTTTATAACAGACAATTCAACAGATTTATATTGGTCCTGCAACATCAATCTAAGATCTAGGACAACGATGTACATCAATAAAATATCCATCTCTCAATTAGGCACATGGAATCTAGCATATTGTAATACCTTTGGCACTGAATAATCTAATCAGTGCTCATCTACAACATCGCTTTTCAATCACTTAAAAGTTACAAAAATATTACCCTCACAGGCCACAAGTACTCATCAACATTCTTTCTTCAGTTCTGACACAGGCGCACACTATTTGGCTTGCGTCTGGTGGCGAGTGGGCAAGAAATTCACTTTGATCCTTTTACTGAAACAAGACAGTGACGCAAATATTGCAATGGACGTGACTTGGCAAGGGGCTGCGTCGAGCTACACCGAGCAATGTCTGAAACGACATAGTCAAAGGCTGTGTCGTGAAAGGCGGGCAAGACCGGCGTTTGCACCCGACGTCGAGCCGTCTGACCAATAGAATTCGCGTCACTGTCTCGTTCGCAATTATAACAGAGAGAACTCCACAGCACGGATGAGTAGGTTCACACCTCGACGGAGGCCTAGCAGTCCGTCGAAATACGAAGCTATATTAAGAAATGCAGGGGCGAGCCGCGGAGAATAATCTCTCAAGCGCTTCGCCTCTTCATCTCTTAGCCCATCCTTCGGGATTATCCATCTAGATAATCCTCTCCTCTTCTCTTAATCTCCACAGACTCATTCTGTGATTTACCTTGCCGCTCGCTGAGCAAAGTTCTTCCCATTAAGGATACACGCAATTCCTTTCATATCAATCAAGGAAATGCACAGAGAGCATCCCATCAGTGTAGGGGGACATGGGAAGGCATTGGCAAAGAAGTAAATATCGCCGCTAACGGCTATCAAATATCGACTACAATTATAATGGGGAATATTTTCTCCTGGATTATCAGGCATCCACAGCCTGAAGAAAGTGAACAAGAAACCCTAATTGTATAAAAGTCAATAAGTAAATATTTACAAATTTACATTAGAATGTATAAAAAAATAATGACTAGATATAACATACTTCATATAATTTATACAAATGCAACATGAATGAAATTCATGAAATGGTCCCGAAGAAAATGGGCAACATTTTCAAACTATCAAGCAGAACTGACTATTTCTAATCAAAAGGCATAAAACACTTTTATCATAACTGTCCATAAAAGTATACAAACAATAATACAGTGTAAAATACTCTCAACTCGTCTTCAGACGGAATGCTATCAGGCACTTTCTTTTCGTACGACATTGGAAGTAGGAAGTCTTCCTAAATCGCTTGCACTTTTCTCCAGCTTTAAATACGGTATTTCATCCACCCAAACATTCAAATCAAGTTCTAGTAAATGCATTGTTTTCCTCTCCTTCTGCTTCTTCTCCTGCTCCTCCTCCACAGCATCATCATCACCTTCTTCTAGAGATCCAAAATGTCTTTCTTCGAGTTCACCCGGCAGTGACATCTGAAACAATACGAAAAAAATATTATTACATTGAAACGATAAAAAACAGCATTTAACAAAACAAATTTTATAAAATATTACGCACAAAAAGTACATCACAAAGTATCATGGGTCAACACGGAATTTCAGGAAAGGCGGTAAATTGGATTACATTTACCCCTCGGTAACATTAAAACTTGTTTTCTCACGAACAAAAAAAAACCTCAACACTCTACAGTAATAAAAATCACCTTATAGCACCTAACAACACGTTGACGTTCGCCATAAATACGAGTAAATGGGTAGGCTTGAACGCCTGTAATGTGTCTCTTGATCGCATACTGACCCCTACGATAGACTGTCAGTACCTCATCACCAGCATATTCATAATGCGGGTTTGCGGTTTAAGCAGCCGTTATGCGTTAATACTACGTACGATAACGAAAAGTTCGTGCACGAACGTTAGCACGAAAATGAATTGTTTTCTAATGCATATTTTATGGCCGACTCCTGTTGTTATTTAAATGATTCCTTTTATTAATGCTGATTCAATACGTGAGTCGCAATTAAATGATCCTAACATCGTTTAATTAGAACCAAAACTATGCAAGAGAGCTCGGAGGCAGATATGAACATCACAATTATACCATCGTTAGAACGAGAGTACAAGCAACGAACTAGAAGGCGACTTCTGGCGGGCAGGGATTTTCATACATATGTATACGCTCGCCCCCAAACTACATATATAACGCACACAACAGGGCTAGGGAGCAAGAAATACTCCATTCAAACCCCTAATGATATATTATGCTCCGCACTTCAATTCGAACGCCAGGAGTTAAGAGAGGAAAACAAAACTGGGAGTAAGTAGGTCGGGTCACAAGACGAAGCGTTTTACCATTCAATTCACACACACACACACACACACACACACACACACACAGGGAAACGAGCGGACTTGTCGCCTCCGCAATTGAAATGTACCGTTCGAGAGCCTTCCAAATGGCCGAAAGACAGCACAAAAGACACTCCCGGGAGTACGTGAAGGTACAGAGAAGTTGTGTTGTAGATCAAGACCCAAAAATCAGGTTCAACTAATTTATCGTTGCGGGCGTTAAGAACAGTGAGATCAAACATTTTCCACAAGAGGCTACACGTAATTGTTTATATATAAGCAATCAGACAACGCAGTTGTATATATTATGATATTATTTATTAGTATAATGCACAATGGCAAGCAATTTATGATTGCAATGAAAGTATGTCCGATCGTTAGAAAAATCACGTGTAAATGGCATATCCACTCGCGGAGAGCGTACACATCAAATTCAACCCAACATCCAAAGAATACCACTTTACATGAACCAACTCTGACTGTATGAACCACGCACCGGCCTCACACGTGTGTCCCGAGAGGGCTTCTGGTCCGGCGGGGCCTTATCGCCCACATCGCCGTATCGCCGCGTAAGACGGCTGCGCTGCGCCTTCCGCCGACGGCGGCAGCCTCTGATCGATGCTCCTCGCCTATCGATAGCGCCTAAGCAGACGTAACGAGGGCCCTTAACGAAGGCGCGAGGCGCATCGGCACCGGTAGCGATATTAATCCAACCCTCCCCCCGCATTAGAATATGACCGTAATTTATATTCCGAGATACATCTCCTACGGAGGGAGTACGTTCTAATTCGGTCTGAATGCCGATAGGCTCGGCAGACTACTACTCCAGCACCGGGGTCTTCCATCCCCCGGAAGCCAGTCCACACAGCCCCTTTTTGTCCGCCCGTAATTTATGAAGGATTCCTTCTTATAAGAAACAGTATGAGTTTGAATAATTATTAGCACTCCCCGCACGGGTCGGTAAACCTTCTCGCCATTCTTTTGAGACCCGCCCCGCTCCCGTTCCGACCTGGAGGTAGGTCTTCGCCCGAACCCCTCCTACCGCCTCGTACCTCTATACAAAGTAGAGCAGTTCCCTTTTCACGTTAGGCCTATTCCGTCTACCTGCGCGCGATATTTTATTTCTGCCTTCACAGATATGTATATACGCCTATTTCAATGACAGAGGAAAACTGGAACAGGTCTGACATTTTGTACGCAATATCGTATTTCATTTCACGGACATTACAAGCCTTCCCTACAAAGGGCGCAGGCCTAGGTACAACGCGGGGCCCGCGGGCCCCGTCGTAGGGACCGCGTCAGACGCGCCGTGCCGCGCAAAACCGACGGCCTGAGGCATTCGCCGGCCCGGGGGCGCTTGGGCGGGAAACGGCCTCGAGGCAAGCCCGCCGCGCCCGAGGTGAAGGTTACGACCGGCACCCAACGAGGTACATCTCCGCATTCATTGCCCTTACTAAAGAGCGGCTGAAACTACTACGTGATTTAGATGATTATACCAAACACTCTCTATCTACGACAGAAGACAAAAAATCTTTAGTTGTAATATTCCGATTAAAACAATCGACGACATACGTACTGAATCTAGCGTGATTCACAAAACGCAACACGAAGTGCTTTCGAACTGGTTGGGCGAGAAAATGTCGAAACTGTGAATGGCATGAAGCGTGTCCCACGAAACACTAGTACGCGCGCTATTGTCGCCTCGGTATTTTTCAAAAAGGGGGAAATGATAACTGAAAAGACGCATCCCAGAACACAAAAACTGCGGGTGTCCGGCTTCTTTTTACAACCAGGTACGGAGGAAGGGGTCGTAGGGTTGACAAACGAAAGGATGGCGAACTACCTGAGAGAATGAACAGCAAGCGAGCAAAAAAGGAAGAGGTACGAAGAAAAAAGGGAAAAAAATCCCAAGAAATTCAATGTGAGAAGTAGAACGAACAAAAAAAGAGGAAAGGATAAATGCAGATAGTCCTCGGAAGCGAAGAGCGAGTTGTTGCCGAAACCTAGCACCTACTGCTAGAAAAGCTTACAGTATAAAACTAAGGAAAGAAGCAAAATAATGAGAGAGATGGGGAGGAAGAGAGAGTAATAACATCTAAAGAAGGGAACAGGTCTGAAGATGAGGAAAGTTCCAGCAATAAAATAAGATAAAAATAAAAAGAGGCAAACACTAAAAAAAGAACAAAGAATGTCGCATAAGGAAAGCATAGCAGGATGTCAGCGAAGAAGAGATAACAACGTGGGGGTAGCAAGTATAAGAAATGGATTTGAGTAAGTCACGATACTTCTATTAAGATAAGTAAGCACAGTCTCGCACTGTGGTATGTGATAGAGTACAGGCTTCTTAAACTCAATTTCGCAGAATTACTTCTGACTAGCAGCAGACAAGTATCGACACCAGTAAAGGACCGTCGCGAGTATAAACGAGACCGTTGTTCTGTCGGTCCTTGTATGCGAACATGTGTGTTAGATCCCATTGGAAAACCGCAGAGTTCCAACAATAGAGCTTATGAGGGGTGGATAGTGAACGTTGGACAACAACATCGCAATGCACGTTACAGGAAAATGTAGGTTCATGATGTGCAGGGTTTTCTGAGCTATCTTCTCGTTATATTTGGCAGAAGTAAGGCAGCGGGTGTGGGTTCTTATTTTGTCAGAAATACCAAAAAATGAAAACAGCTTTTTTAGAGCCGATGCAAAACTTAACTCGGGAGCGAAGATTAATTATTTCGAACGTCAACCCCGCTTGTTAATACATTTATTCATAATTGAAATCATACGGTTGGGCTTCTGGAGCTGAAGGAAACGTAGGTGTATTATGCGTCTCACCTATACATCACATTCAGTTCTTATCATTTCTGACCATAAACAAATGTGACAATAAATACGCCAAGAGGAGTGAAAAGTACAGGAGCGGGCGGAGAGACAGAGACGGACCGAGTGTGAGAGAGGGGGGAGGGAGGGGGAGAGGGATCGTCCGGCCCGCCCTCTTCTCCCGTCTACAACCCCGGGGCACGATGTCCGACTTATAGCGCCTGTTAATCGTCGACCAGCAAGAATTTGGAAAAGCGGTCTTGTACCGACGGCCAAGCTCCGTCAAAGACTCCCGAGGCGGCCTGACCAGGGCAGGCGTGTGGACGCAGCGCGCGTGCCCTAACGCCAACGGCCCCACGCCGCACCCGCCAGCCGGTTGGCGGCATACGTCGTCGCGCCGCAGCCGGCCGACGTCTCCGCCACTCGCTCCATGCGTCCGCGCCGGATACAGTTAGCTGCCGCGCAGTGATATATCCACGGTGGCTGGCGCGCACGCATTCTGACGGACGTGATTGTTATCCAAACACTATAGGAAGAGCTGTTACCCCATTTGTATGCGGGCGAAATGACTTAATAATGTTTCAAATACTGCGCAGTCATGGAGTATATATTCTCGCATTAGCTGTCTTCACTCCGTTTATCATTCAATTGTTTCTTGGCTGAAAGCGGTAGTGCCTACACTATCGTGTAACAAAATACGCGCGACGCCGGGAAGGCCCAGGACCGGTGGTGGCGGCTTACGGCGGCGGCGGGGGAAACGTTGAAGGAGACAGGCGCGACGAGACGCAACTGCAGTGGGTGGAGGAGTGGTTGGGCGCCCTTCCGTCATGGGCCTGTCCGCCGCCCCGAGTGCCCCCTCCCCGCCCTTTCCGCGCGCTTTCGGCTGCTCCGGCTTGCCGCCCTGTCGGCTGTCGCGGCCGCCTGGCCATAATGGCTGCGTCGTTAATACGCGTGTGAGGTCTGTTCGCCGCTGCCCTCCCCGCTGCCCAGACGTCGCTGCTGTGCTGCTGCTGCCGCCGCCGCGATTCCACTGTCTGCGAGACATTGCCGCCCCCCCCCCCGCCCTCCCTGGCCCTTGCCCCCTGTCTGACGAAAGACGGCTCTCTAACCCGCTCGCGAGGAGTGGTTGTTGTGTTCGTTGTTCGGTGGCGGACTGGGTCTAGTGCTTTCTTCCTTTCTCGAGACAACGTCTTGTCTAATCTGTTCTATTTTCCTGTAGTTCTTTTTTTCTTATTTTTTCTACTTGCCTTTTCCAGTGGTTCTGCGCTGTGTTTTTTTCTTCCCTCCGTATTGTCCTGCCGAATGTGGTGGT